TGGGGGGGATCAATTTCCATTCATAGACTGCATCATGTTTTTCTTGTTTTGAAGACAGATATTTACACACTGTGTGCAAAATCAAGATATTCCTTCAATATTTTCACACACAGTATTGTTCATTCCTCTATTCCTCTATATGCCCCAGTCTCTGTTGCAACAAAATACCCTTACAACATGGTCCTACTGCAGAAATGGAAAAGATGTTCTTAGATTTGCTCATTTTTTCCCTCCAAACGTAGTAACTGTCTTCTGATCAAAACACTTCAACTTTATCTCCAAAAAGGAAGATCTTTGTCTTTATTTTAAATATACAATTTGGCTTTTATCTTGCTTTGACGTAAAAATGTCCTGGTTGCCGAATGAGCTCTCAACCCATCTTGGTACAAAGAAACGTTTGTTTCTGGAAGCAGGACCTTCCGCCATGAATGGTGTGAAAACTGGATACCCCAGTTGTGTTTTTACTCATATAGAACTGAGTGATGACTGTGGCAACCTTTAAGCATTGGGAAAGTTTGCCCAAAACAATGAACCAGACTTCTTTTCTTGAAATGCACCTCATTAACGTTTAGCAAGTAACTCCAGACTCCTTCCTGATTGAAGCTAGTTCATCCTCCCAGCTACGCTTAGATTGCCTTGACTTCAGCAGCTTAACCTGTCTGAACACAAATCTTTACAAATGACACTGAAAGCAAAATCAGAGCCTCCATTTAGCTTCTTCCAACTTTTTATCTCTGCCAGTGCCACCTCAAGCTCCCGTGTCTCATAAAACATTCATCATCTTCACATTGAAGGCTGTGTGGCTTTGCAGACAGAAATGCAGGACCTATCAGCCCCTGCCTGTGTACCAGCTATAATAAGAAGCCATGTGGTAGGTTTCGGTTTTGTTACAGACAAGATTTGTTTTGCACAGTTTTGTTTTTCCTGGGGGGAAAAAATGACAATTTTGGAAGGAATTTACTGCAAACTACTTTTTGTTTTTGTTAAATTTAATTGAAAGCTTCTATCATGCTTTTGTTGACAATTGCGAGGTTTTATCTGACAATTTCACAACATCGCACTCAAATTCTCTCTATCTGCAAAGTGCTTACAAAAGCACACAATGGCATCTAAAACCCGCTATTCAACCTCAGCCAACAAAAGAAGTCTGCCCATCATGACGTGGCACTTTCTGACATGTTAACAATCTTTTATCACTTGATATTTCATCATATCACAATAAAAATCTTCAGTGTAATTTTCCTTACAGAGGTATGGCAGCCTAATAATTCAGCTCCCTTTTATTCCAATACCCTTTACAGACTTCAATTGCAGCTAACAGGTTTAGGTTATGAACTAAGCTTTGAACAACTCACAGAGTTCTGTAGACTGATAATGGAAACAATATGACAAACTGCAAATGTATCAAGTGGGAGAACACGCTACCAGGACAGCTATCCATTGTGTGAATCATTAACCTGCGAAGAAGAAAGAACTTATAAGAACCAGAGATGTCAACTATTTTTCAAATTTTAGGTCTCCAATGACCGACATAAACATTTTAAAGCTAAATTCACCATTTCTTGGTCACCCTTAACCATTGATGAATGTAGGTTATGTCCCAGCCTGTACCTTAGACCTAACCAAAGGTCCAACACAGGCAGGCCGATATTACCAGATGAAAATATTAAGTTACCTTTTAACCTTTTAACATTTAAGTTACCGTCTAAATATCTGACAGAATTTATCTAAATAATCCCAATGTAAACCAGAATAAGACTTTATTGACATCATACAACATTTGCATTAGTGCAGCTCAAAGATAAACAAACAACATAACAAACGGGTAGACAGGTCCCTGAAACTAAAGCCATACGAGGCGCTGCTCTTTCATTAGATGAGAATAAATAAAATCAGAAAAACACATACCTCATATGCAACACAACCAGAGGTCTGCACAGACATTTTGGGGGGAGGTCCCCAAGTATGAAAAAAAAAAATGTATGAAAAAAGTATGACAGCTGCCTTAGTAGTGTGAGATTTAATACAGGCCACACACAGCAAAAGATTTCAGAAGGCTACTTTTTGATTAGCTGAAAAAGGACAGGCACTCTACCACCACCTAGTGTCTGTCTGTACACATCCCTGAACACAACAGTTTGCAGACAAAACCATTTCAATAGGTTGTGTTGGTCAACCATATAAAATCTTAATAATTCACACGGAGGTTTGTAGCTGCGACATGGTAAAGTGTAGAAAAGCTTAAACCACTTTTACTTTATGAACATCTCTTATCCTCTACAAATGGTCACTCATATCTGAACACACACCATGGCTCATATGAGTACAAACACAACTAACACCTTTTATTGTGTTCACACACTGCTATTCACTTATCAGAAGATGTCAACACTCCACTCACAAGAGAACACCTCACACGCACACCCACATATAGACAGAGGTTAGAAAAGCTGTGATATCATCCGTCATTAGCTTGTGACTAGAACACACACTTCACCGACTCCGTATCAGTCGAGAGAGGAACTAGCGTTTCAGCGAAGGACTGCAGAGACGGCGAGAAAACAACATCACCACTGTCAAGAGAGTTGTGTGAGAAGTCAAAACATCTTCTGAAGCGAATGTCCTGCCTCATAATTCTGACATGTTCTGTTTCATCTGAGTAGATGGGGTTTGGATGTGGCTAGTCTGAGCTAAAAAGCAGAACTTTCTCCACACAACTATCAACTGCCTTCGTGTGAAAACCATGTTGTCGAGACCAAATTTTCCACACTTCATGACCAACTCATGAAGATGTCGCCATGTTGCTACCAACCTCCTTGTTGTTGTTGTTGTTGTTGTTTTTTACTTCTAAATAGAGGTGGGTGAATTGATCCAAAATGTCAATAATATCCATAACAAGTAGGGATCCGTGACGGACTCTAGAAATGTTTTAAAAATCAGAGTTTGTCCTTTCCATTCAAATGTGTCCTAACCAAACATCACTATGGGTTTATTTACAACACGTGGACAATGTTTCAAATTTAAATCCAAATTCACATTCACACTTCCTTCATATGCTGGAAGAGGTGCCTAAAATAATTTCTTATTTGCATTTCACATTTATGAGATTCCTGTTTTTCAAGAATCAAATATTAGATGGCACATCAACATATTGTAATAGAAAAAGTGAGTCAGGTCACATCAGCTCCTGTTGTTTTTGACGACTGACAAATTATTGTGGCTCTGTTAATATCCTTGAACATTCTTTTTTTTCCAAACTGCTGTAATGTTTTGGCAGGAAAAAAAAAATGCTTAAAATTAAATAGGCATTAAAACTAAAAAATATATATAAATAAAATAAACTAATTTCTCATGTTTCCCTTTCAGGAAACAAAGGATTCAAGTTCAACATATAGAAATTCTGAAGAGCTTATTAATTGTTGGTTTGAAGAGCCAAATTTTCAATATCAACACAAAAGAAAAAAGTTTGAAATAGCCCTGGAACAAATCATTTTCTGCGGCTGAAATAAATTAAACAACAGCTCAGAGTCCGAGATGTTTGGGCTCACCTGCATTTATGTTCACACACCAGCTGACGAGCATCAGGACGAGACTTGTGGTTGTTCCCCATGCTCGGCTAGTACACAGGTCCATGATGAAGTGGAGGGAAGCTGCAGCGTTGATCTGCTCTCTCTCTGCTGCTCTCAGAAGTCTTCGTCGCTCGCCGAAACCCTGGTGAGACCTCGCAGGCTGCCGTCTGCACGGCTGCTCTCTGCAGACTGAGGGGAAAGAGGAGACGGTGGGAGGCTGAGGCATGGAGAGAGGGAGTTCACTCACCACCGTCACACCAAGTGCTTTCCTGCCATAAAGAGACTTTAATGACAAAATCCGCAGGAACTCGGAGACGCATATCTGTTACATGACAGTCGTTCACACTTGAACAAAAAGAGCGAATGAGTTTGTGGGGGATTCAAGATAAATATGGATGTGTGTTTTTTGATCTGGGAGTGGGAATATTACATTTTTACTGCTAAAAACAATCTTTGAAAATACAATATGATAAATTTTGTAATTGACAGGGCCCCGATTTTTTATTATTATTTTTATTTCTATGAACAAAAAATAAATAATTAAATTGTGGAGGGCCCCCTGTTGGTCAGGGCCCCTAGAATTGTCATCATTTTTCCCCTCTACACCGCTTCTCACTCCTTCACCAAACAATCAGATCAACCACAGCAGCTGCTTCTGCTTGTTAATCACAGCAGGAGGCTGACTGACAAGGAGGAGTGTCTAAGCCAGGGGTGTCCAAAGTCAGTCCTCTAGGTCCGGCATCCTGCAAGTTTTAGTTCTCTCCCTGTGGTAGTAACAACCTTTTCAGCTTGTCAATATTCCTCTTAGGGCTTCTAACGAGCCATCATTTGATGCAGGTGCGTTAAACCAGGGAGAGAACTAAAACATGCAGGATGCCGGCCCTCCAGGACCCACTTTGGACACCCCTGGTCTAAGCACAAAAAATAAATAATAGATCTACCATTCACATTATCTTGGATCTGTAACATTAATAAATTAACAAAAAATAAATTAATCAAATTATTGTCAGGCTCCATCACAATCCTTTCCAGGTAATCTCTTTTAGGTAATGTTCCACATTCCCATGCTTTATTATATAAATCAAATAAGATTAACATTGAATATTCACTAAATTCACTTACATAATAGATTTGATCATTTTCTGAAGTTGACATTTTCTCAGGGCAGATCTTAACTACACTGTTGGAAAATACATATTATTGACATTATATTGTTCTTGTATTAGTTCTTCATTTTCTAATAGGTTTACTGTCAGTCTTCACAATTATTATGTGTACTTTTTTTGGAAAATTTCTATTCTAAGGTTGCTGATTTTACATTTTTATTGCTGCTGCTGTTTCCTCACTAATGAAAAAGGGCAACCAGATTCCCTTGTAAATTGTTCATTAAGTTAATATGTGTCCATCCCTGTCCTCTCTGCTCTTAAACACAGCTTGAAGCTGATTGGCAGCTGCCTCTCTGCACTTATCAGAGCTCAAAGCAGCTTCTGCATTCAGAAAGTGAAACTAACGCAGCCACTGTGACTGAGAGCAGAGATGGAGCAGAGTCATCTGGACAGAGAAACCTTCTGCTGTTTCATCTGTATGGATCTACTGAAGGATCCAGTGGCTATTCCCTGTGGACACAGCTACTGTATGAAGTGTATTAAGACCCACTGGGATGCAGAGGATCAGAAGGGAATCCACAGCTGCCCTGGGTGCAGGGAGACGTTCACACCGAGGCCTGTGCTAAAGAAGAACATCATGCTAGCGGCTTTCGTGGAGCAGCTGAAGAAAATTGGACTCAAAGCTGCTGCTGCTGATCACTGCTATGCTGGACCTGAAGATGTGGCCTGTGATGTCTGCAGTGAAAGAAAACTGAAAGCTATCAAGTCCTGTTTAGTCTGCCTGGTCTCTTACTGCAAGGAACACCTTCAGCCTCATTATGATTCAGCTCCTTTCAGGAAACACAAGCTGGTGGAGCCGGCCAGGGACCTCCAGGAGAACATCTGCTCTCGTCATGGTGAGGTGATGAGGCTCTTCTGTCGTACCGATAAGATGAGTATATGTGCTTTCTGTTTAATGGCTGAACATGGTCGTCACGACACGGTATCAGCTCCAGCAGAAAGGGCTGAGAGGCAGAGAGAGCTGGAGGAGAGACGAGGAAACGTCCACCAGATGATCCAGGAAAAAGAGAATGATGTGAAGCTGCTTCATCAGGAGGTGGAGGCCATCAATCACTCTGCTGATAAAACGGTGGAGGAGAGTGACAAGGTCTTCACCCAGCTGATCCATCTCCTCCAAAGAAGAAGCTCTGAGGTGAAGCAGCAGATCAGATTCCACCAGAAAACTGAAGTGAGTCGAGTCAAAGATCTTCAGAAGAAGCTGGAGCAGGAGATCACTGAGCTGAAGAGGAAAGACGCTGAGCTGGAGCAGCTGTCACACACAGAGGATCACAGCCAGTTTCTCCTCAACTACTCCTCACTGCCAGCACTCAGTGAGTCGACACACTCATCCAGCATCAAAATCCGTCCTCTGAGACACTTTGAGGACTTGACAGCAGCTCTGACAGAGTTCAGAGATAAACTACAGCAAGTTGAGAGTGACTCGTGGGATAACGTCTTACTGATGGTCACTCAGATGGATGTTCTACTGTCAGGACCAGAACCAAGGAGCAGAGCTGGCTTCTTGAATTACTACTGTGAAATCAGTCTGGATCCAAACACAGCATACGAACGTCTGGAACTATCAGAGGGGAACAGGAAGGTGACATTGCTGAATAAAGATCTGCCTTATTTCAGACATCCAGGCAGATTCACTTTTTGGTCTCAGGTTCTGAGTAGAGAGAGTCTGACTGGACGTTGTTACTGGGAGGTGGAGTGGAGCGGTAAAGTTTGTGTTGCAGTTGCATACAAAAATATCAGCAGAGTAGGAAATACAGATGCATGTGGATTTGGATTTAATGACAAATCTTGGGCTTTATATTGTTCCAATTTAACATTTGGTCACAACAACATCTGGACCTCCGTCTCGGGTCCAGTTTCCTCCAGAGTAGGAGTGTACCTGGATCACACAGCAGGTCTTCTGTCCTTCTGCAGCGTCTCTGACTCCATGACTCTGATCCACAGAGTCCAGACCACATTCACTCAGCCACTACTGGCTGGAGTTTGGGTTTTGGGAAAAGGAAACTCTGCAGAATTCTGTCAGCCCAGTAGATATACTTTCTTGTCTCCAATTGCTGCTCCGGGTTCATTGTTCTGATTTATTTTTCTGGTTTAAGTAGTTCTTTGTTCCAGGAGGATTTTTTTGGGGGGTGGGGGTATTCTTTGAGACTAAAATATTTCTCCACATGAAAACCTAAACTTCTCTGGGTTCTAATAGTTTTGCTTTAACATTCATATTGATGATCTGGTTCCTCTTCCACGGTTTGGCAGAACAAATGTTCAAATCAGTTATTGAAATGAGATGAACTCACTGGTGTTCTTTATAGTGATCCAAAGAAGAAACTGAATCTATCTGCTTAGAACTGATGCTGCTTTAGATCAGAAATGTAAATGTCTGACTTTCTTCAATAAAATGATATGATTAAAGAGAAATTTGCTCTTTATTACAATTTGTATGGTTTGCTGCTGGAGAAGATCCAATACCTGAAGACTGACTTAATAATTGGGAGGTTTTGAAAGGGCTCGTTTTCCTGACACCAAAGAACTTCAGGGTCTTTCTTACTTTTTTTTTTTTTTTTTTTTTTTAAAGCACTTGGACAGTTTCTAGATGCAGTAAAGGCCCAAATGGAAAATGTCAATATTCCTGAAATTTGCTTTCACTTCATTACTTGCTGCTGTCATTCCATCACCAACTCAGACAGGACAACCAGACTTCATCAGAATGCTGCTGCTGGCTATCTCACTAAAACCAGGAAGATGGCTCGCATCACTCTGGTTCTGACACTGGCTCCCTGTGGCTCAGAGAACGGACTTTAAAAAACCGTTAGCTTAAAAATCACTCAATTTAGCACAGACATAAATTAAAGCGCTTTTGTTGCATCAACCTTCCAGAAACTCTCAGGTCTTCTGGTTCTGCATCCCCAGAACCAAAACTGAATATGGAGATGCAGCATTCAGCTTCTATGCACCACAAATCTGGAACAAACTTTAAAAAACATACTGAGAGCTGAAACACTGACGTTTAAATCAAGGCTAAAAATCCACCTGTTTAGATTCACTTTGATTAGTATTAAATGGAATATTGATCAACTTGATGTGTATTGATCATTTTGATGGCATTTGACAAAATATTTAGCTCGTTTCAAAAATTTTTGCATTATGTTATGACGTAAAGCACTTTGGTCAGCCTCGTTGCTGAAATGAGTTATACAGATAAACTTTAACTTCTACTTTTAAACCTATGTATTCCCTGATGTCACTCCCTCTCCTTTCTGCTCTTAAACACACCGTGAAGCTGGGCGGATCCAACAGCTGATTGGCTGCTGCCTCTCTGCACTTAGAGCTCAAAACAGTTTCTGTTTTCAGAAAGTGAAACTAACACAGCCACTGTGACTGAGAGCAGAGATGGAGCAGAGTCATCTGGACAGAGAAACCTTCTCCTGTTTCATCTGTATGGATCTACTGAAGGATCCAGTGGCTATTCCCTGCGGACACAGCTACTGTATGAAGTGTATTAAGACCCACTGGGATGCAGAGGATCAGAAGGGAATCCACAGCTGCCCTGGGTGCAGGGAGACATTCACACCGAGGCCTGTGCTAAAGAAGAACATCATGCTAGCAGCTTTAGTGGAGGAGCTGAAGAAAATTGGACTCCAAGCTGCTGCTGCTGCTGATCACTGCTATGCTGGACCTGAAGATGTGGCCTGTGATGTTTGCAGTGAAAGAAAACTGAAAGCTATCAAGTCCTGTTTAGTCTGCCTGGTCTCTTACTGCAAGGAACGCCTTCAGCCTCATTATGATTCAGCTCCTTTCAGGAAACACAAGCTGGTGGAGCCGGCCAGGGACCTCCAGGAGAACATCTGCTCTCGTCATAATAAGGTGATCGATATCTTCTGCCGCACTGATCAAAAGACTATCTGCTATCTCTGCTCTGTGGATGAACATAAAGGTCACGACACGGTATCAGCTGCATCAGAAAGGGCTGAGAGGCAGACAGAGCTGGAAGAGGGACGAGGAAACGTCCACCAGATGATCCAGGACAAAGAGAATGATGTGAAGCTGCTTCAACAGGAGGTGGAGGCCATCAATCACTCTGCTGATAAGACAGTGGAGGAGAGTGACAAGGTCTTCACCCAGCTGATCCATCTCCTCCAAAGAAGAAGCTCTGAGGTGAAGCAGCAGATCAGATTCCACCAGAAAACTGAAGTGAGTCGAGTCAAAGATCTTCAGAAGAAGCTGGAGCAGGAGATCACTGAGCTGAAGAGGAAAGACGCTGAGCTGGAGCAGCTGTCACACACAGAGGATCACAGCCAGTTTCTCCTCAACTACTCCTCACTGCCAGCACTCAGTGAGTCGACACACTCTTCCAGCATCAAAGTCCGTCCTCTGAGACACTTTGAGGACATGACGGCAGCTGTGTCAGAGCTCAGACAGAAACTACAGGACGTCCTGAGAGACGCAGGGACAAATATCTCACTGATGGTCACTGAGGTGGATGTTCTACTGTCAGAACCAGAACCAAAGAGCAGAGCTGAGTTCTTGAAATATTACCGGGAAATTACTCTGGATCCAAACACAGCAAACAAATACCTGGAGCTATCAATGGGGAACAGGAAGGTGACTGAGATGAATAAAGATCATTTTTATTCTAGTCATTCAGAAAGATTCACTTATTGGGATCAGGTTCTGAGTAGAGAGAGTCTGACTGGACGTTGTTACTGGGAGGTGGAGTGGAGCGGTAAAGTTTGTTTAGCAGTCACATACAAGAATATCAGCAGAATAGGAGAAGGGAATAAATGTGGATTTGGATGTAACAACAAATCTTGGGCTTTAGATTGTAACAAGTCTAAATTTGGTCACAGCAACATCTGGACCTCCGTCTCGGGTCCAGTTTCCTCCAGAGTAGGAGTGTACCTGAATCACACAGCAGGTCTTCTGTCCTTCTACAGCGTCTCTGACATCATGACTCTAATCCACAGAGCCCAGACCACATTCACTCAGCTGCTACTGGCTGGAGTTTGGGTTTGGTACCAAGGAACCTCTGCAGAGTTCTGTAAACCCAACTAGATTTTTTCTCTTCTCTCTGATTGCTGATCAGGGTTCATTGTTCTGATCTCTGCTCTGCCATTGTGTTCTTCTTTATTTTTCTGGTTTAAATGTAGTTCTTTGTGTTCCAGGAGGATATATGTTTTGTTTTTGTTTTTTTGTTTTTTTTATTCTTCTTTGATACTGAAATATTTCTCCACATGAAAATCTAATCTTCTCTGGGCTCTAATAGTTTTGCTTGAATATTCATGTTGATGTATTTGGATGTTCTGGTTCCTCTTCCACTGTTCTGCAGAACAAATGTTCTTGTTCAAATCAGTTGATATTGAAGTGAGATGAACTCACTGGTGTTTTCTTTATAGTGATCCAAAGAAGAAACTGAATCTGTCATCAGCTTAGAACTGATGCTGTTTTCTTCTACGGTCTTTAGAATTAGATCAGAATTATAAACGTCTGCTGTTCTGTCTCTTTAGCTTTCTTCAATAAAACAATTTGATTAAAGAGAAATTTGGAAAAATGTCCTCTTCATTATCACAATAAATTCCACATTTACAAATCGTAATATTTATTGCTTGTTTCAAAATTGGTGACTGCATTATGATTTTATGATGTAAAGCACTTTGGACAGCCTCGTTGCTGAAATGAACTTGAACTTCTACCATTCATTTGGTTAATCAATTTCCAGACATTCCCTCTCTCCCTGCTTTTAAACATGCATTGAATGTTGTAATATGATCAAATGTGAGACATTTAGGAGCAAATATTATAAGGCACTTAGGTAAACCTTTAACATTCATTTCTGTCTCTCTTTTATCCTCTGATCTGATCTGAGACATAATGGAAGTCAGAAATTCATTAGTTGTCCAATAATGTCCCATCTGAAACACTATTATCTTGGCCATTAGATGACTAATGGAGAAAATAATCATTTGGTGTATTGATCTACCATTTTTTATTGCTTCTTTCGGATCCAGCACTCAGTTCAGCAAAGTCTTCAGCATGTTTGTTGTTTCTCTGCTTTAACTTTCTTCTGCTTTTATTAGCCTCCTACTTTCCACCATACTTGTACAGGCATGATTCTGCCTCTTTATTTTCTGGACATATTTACCTTTCTGACAACAACCACAAGAAAGGGAGAGAGTAACACAACTGAAATTTCTTCATAGCCAAGGTAAAACAATAATGTTTCTATCTGTTGTCACCTTGGGTGGAACTGAAGCATCCCCTTCGATATGTCCAGTTTTACATTTTATTATTATTTTTTGGCTATTTAGAGCATTTACCTTAAGAGAATCACATCCTCTTGATTCTTGTGCCTAATTTATTGTTAAACAATGTTACAAATAGCAGAGCTCTTCTACATAAAGACTTTGTGGTGTGTGTCCAGCATCATTTGTTGCAGCTCATTTCACACAGGTACTTCTGTTTTCACTATTGATTTTCTTTTCTTTTTTTTGCTATAATTGACCACAATAGTTTTCTGTCTTTCTCATCTGACCTCCAAACAACCAACCTAATGAATAATTCAACACCAGATCAATAAAATGGAGAGATTTACAGTGCTGCTCTCAGCCTTTATAAATCAAGTTTGTGCATATTGTGAAGAAAAATGAAGACTGGCCATTAAATATTCAGTTTTTTCAAAAGAATGTTTGGAAGTCTGTGTTATTTTCTTATTATCTCTCGAGAATAAGAAACATAACTGAAAGAAATATGGAAAGCCATTTTATTTGAAATTAAATAAATAGTTACTAATAAATTATTAATAAATGTCATATGAAACAAATGTCCCCATGAAATAAAAAATATATTTTTCTGTTTCTAAATTAATTTCAAGATTTGTTTATTCATTTTATATATTGATTTCATTCATTTTTTTATTCATTGTAATTTATTAATTTAATAATTTTAAATTGAGTTTCATCAGAAACTACTTTTATATTGAATTTCTCATTAAACTCAATATAAAAGTATATTGAAACTCAATATAAAACTCAATATAAAAGTAGTATCGATGTAAAGATCTATGCTACTGACGCCATATAAATCGCGGTTAAATTCAATAACAAAAAACTTATCATAGTGTCAAATAACACATTAGGAAGCTACATCTAGCACAGAAACAATGCCACATAATTACTTCCACAATACATACCGGCAATGCAACCACTCAAACCGGACATCACAAAACGGATGGGGACACCATACTGTCTGCTTCAAAAACAAGATTGCTAGGTTGCAATTCCTGAAAAGAACACACGAGGGCAGGGTTTTCCCCTTTTGATCTACATAAATGAACTTAATAGTTCGTGAAAGCATGATATGTACAACTTCGTAACAGAACAATGTATTTCATGGGCTCATTTTTTAAACTTTGTTTTTATTTCAGGGTCTTTTAATGTCATGTTCTAATATTCAAAAGAGGACGGAGGTTTTGACTGTGAGGCAGCTCGAGTCCAGTGACCTGAGAGACGGCGAGCTTCATAACATCTTTGGAGTACGGGAACTCGACTCTGTTAAGTCAAAGGCTCCTTACTACCCGCTAAAATCAATCGATGCGGCGAGGCAATAGCTGCTACACCGGAAGAACCACAAATTTCAAAACAAGAGCACGCGAGCTTAACTTCCTCACTTATAAGGGAAAGGCAGGCCTGTCGTGTCGTACCTCATACTAGCCTACAAGTCACCTGTACGTCAGTTCAAGCTCTTATAGTTCGCACATTTCACCCTCATGCATATGCGCTGAAGTTCACTGTCAGCCTGCTTCACTTCAAAGATTTTTGAAAGGATGGGACATCCTTTCCCCTAATAGTGTTACACCCTTTAACTTAAAGTCACACCTGGTTGTCTGCTAATATACCTTTGCTAGCTTCCTAGCTTTTCTTGCCTGTAAACTTTCGCCTGTTGGCTGGTTGACGTTAGTTTTCCTCACTTCTGTTGCCAACCCATAGGATGCTGCGTGCATTCTGTGCAAAAAAGCTTGGCACTACTACAATATAAAATATGTAATGTTCTTTTTTTACATTTCTGTTGTGATACCTGTCTTAAAATTCATTCGTAATGGTCTTAAAAGGCCTTAAATTTGAGTTGGTGAAACCTGCAGAAACCCTGATAGAGAAGATTTAGCATTTCAGCCCGACTTTTGCTTCGGCTGAATTTCCTGGTTAATACTGACTGTAAATGTGTAAGCAGTGCTGGACAGTGTCAGCTTTTAACATCAAAATCCAAACATTGTCAAGCTAGCTGGACTCCTGCCTGCAGCTTTTTGATATCTGGCTCTTCTTCAAACTTAATGTCTTTTAGCCTCACTGACTGAAATGATTGCTCTTCCAGTTGTCTGCCAGACCTGAGCTGATTTGCTCCTGTTGACTTTGACCTCGGCGAGCGGCCGCGTGAATTAAACTATGTCCTCTGGTGTTTCTGGGAGCACTCTGGGCTTTTTCACACCGTTGTCGAATATTGACCACATAGTGAAGCGTGATATTAGGTGCAGGGCTCCATGCCAGGATGGTTCAGAGCTTTAACGATTCGAGGCATTGCTTACCCATCTGAAGTGAACGACGGGGGGTCGCTGAGCTGAAAAATAAAAAAATCCCACTTTGTTGAAAACTAGAGGGAGTACAGAATATGAATCTGCTGCTAGATAATGACTACTTTGGAACATGGGATTCCAAATGTACCCAACTTCTGATTTTTTTTTTTTTAATAAACCGATAGTTATTTCAATTATAGAAGAACATAACAAAAGAAATACCAGTAGTTTATAAATTTAAAATGATTGGCAGAGAATTTCTGCAGACAAAAAGATATTTTTCTTAAGGTGGAGTTTGCAGTACGATATCTGAACAAGTTATGGATACATTATTTCCATGGCTAGAAGTGCCAGTAGATTTTTTTTCTACTGTCTCTCACTATATTCCCATCCCTGCATTGAAATCTAACAGACACCAATGTGTATTATTCACACAAGGCAACAAACTAGATTTAACACCCATAATTGCTACAAGTTGCACAGGAGCCTTGAAATAAGTCGCAGCACTGAGTCCTTCCTCTACAACAGGATGCGTCTCTGTCACCGAGGAGGGGGCAAAATTAATCACGCGGGCTTTTTGGACGGGCCCTTACCACTGGCAGCTTACTGTGGTAAACCAGCAGAGTAAGGAAAATGAATTAACATGCAGCCTTACAACTGTATGGAGCGGTAAAGGAGGTCTTTGTGCATCAGAGGCTCCAGCTGCAGGGCTTTTATCAACTAACACCAAAGATTGGTCTGGAAGAGAGTAACTTGGATCTGCACAAAAATCTAATAGGTTCTTCTTTTTTCTATTTCAGCCATTTCATAGAAGAATGCTAAAAACAAACATACAAAAAGACTGCACATACTGCTTTATTTATTAAAACACCCATATTGAAATGCTGAAGTAAAAAGAATCTCTTATAATCATAACAAGGACTACAAATTTAAAGGATTCCTGTGAAGTTTATCCACCTTTATTACATAGTTGCAGAATTCTGTTTTTGTGCGTCAAGCTGATGTTTCCGTCACACACTGTTTTGCAATCTGAAAAGAGAAAACTGCACTCTCGGCTTGAGGATGTCGGCTTTTAAGAACAACGGCTTCAATCTGCTCGCTTGGTATTCTGTCTGTGATCTTCGTGGCGACTTGGATTGTGTCGTTTTGGCCCCCGTAAAAAATCAAAGCCGATCCAAAAGCTTTGATTACAGCCTCCAAACTAAAATCACAGTGTTTTGAGAAGCCTGGCGGTTATCAGTGTGATTAGCTTTTCTTTTTGTTTGCTCAAAAGAAATGTGTTATTATGAAGTTTCCCTGACATCAACCTGTGTCGTACTCTAATCCAATCAATTCTTTAGCAGTTTACAAATTTGAAATGAACACACTGTCGCAATGACCAACAGTAATAAAAAAAGGGTTGTTTAGGATTGTTTCTATGACAAAAAGTGAAAAGCAAATATCGAAATAATTCCAGAAATAATTGTTGCAATGCGACTTGCCTAACATCTTAGCATGATGATTATGTGTGAAACCATTGCAGATTATTTTATTTAACTCAGTTTAAAAAAAAATTCCATCTCACTTGCTTAGTTTTATCTGTTCAAATAGGAATAATAGTCTAACAAAGAACATGAACAGATTTAAAGTTCATGAATGACTCACAAGTTCTGTTTAAGATTTAAGTCAGATACTGAACCTTTTCTAAGATTTTTCTTGGTTAGCCATGCAGAGAGTAGTAATAGAAATCACAATTGTGTTAAAAGATCCAGATGTTTTCTCCTTACCTAACCTTCCAAAATTGTGCAGTCATTTTATTATTGTGCCTCCATTTAGCTTTAAGACATTTTGCTATCAATACCAAGATCAGCTGTGGTCCCAGATATGGGACGATTTTTGGGAGTAAATGACGGTGTTCCTGGGATTGGCCAGATTCAGCTTTTTGGGCGATCCGATCTTTGCAGAAATAGATCAATAACCTCTGTCTCTGTGGACA